TATTTCAGGTTTGAAAATAGCTCAGGGGAATATTTACAGAACATCTGAAGAAGTGCTACCTGACACGAGTTTTCTCAATGTTCGGTTAAGAAGCACTTAACGGTATAATGGAACCAGTTAGAAAACACTCAGAGAGTGCAGCCTTGGGCTTTGGGCCTGTCCAGATGATTCTTCTTTGCAGCCAGGGTTGAGAAATCCCCTTTGGAGATTACAAGGCCAGGCATGTAGGGCGGTGATGCACTCACAGCTCCTGTGGAGGTTGGAGTGCAGCTTAGAGAGCGAATGTGTAAGACAAGGAAAATAACAAAATGAAGAGAAACAGTGAATTCCAGGGACAGAAAAAAAGAGGAAACATTAGAAAAAGGGCCGAGTGATAGTCTAAAAGTTGACTATAGTGCAAGAAAAGCCAAGCGACAGAGTGGAAGCCTCCCAGGTGTGGGCAGCATGGACGATGAGGCAGGTCTCATCTTCTTTGTTACTTGTACTGATACAGAAGTGGCCTGAAAGCATGGACAATGAATGGAGACCGGAAGAGGAATACATGTTTGCATTCATGTAATGCATTCATGTAATGCAATCATGTAATGATCACTAGTCTCAAAACTGATGCTTTCGGGGCGCCTGGGTGGCTCAGTTAAACTTCTGACTTTGGCTCAGGTCACGATCTCAGAGTTTGTGGGTTTGAGCCCCGTGTCAGGCTTTCTGCTGCGAGCACAGAGCCTGCTTCGGATCCTCTGTCCCCCTTTCTTTCTGCCCCTCCCCCACTTGCACGCACGCACTCTCTCAAAAATAAATAAACATTTAAAAAACAAAACAAAACCTGATGGTTTCATTTTTGGAACAGCATGAAGGAAGCGGGAGAAGTACCATTAAACATCTCCAGTCTGGGACGACGGCAAAACTTTACAAGGGTTCACTGTGGCCCAAACCCACACACCCCATAGGGGCTCCTTCAGCTGGTACAATACAGTGTCTGTGCAGTTGGTGGTTAGAGTCTATGTTTATAACACTTTTTGTCCAATCTTAACTCTTGTATCAAAGCAGCACAAAAAACCATGAGAAAATGTGGCGCGGTAGCACACAGTGCCAACATTCAGCGCCTCACATGGGCCTGTCTGCGCTCCGGGCAAAGGGACCGCTGGACAAACATTACACGGTCAGCCGATAAAATTCAGCATGCACCGGGGGCCGAGTATCTATCTGGATGCGATAAACATCATACTAGAAAGTTAACCCTTGGCTTTTTCACAGGGAACACATACTTATAAGGTTTCAAACACAATTGTGTTTGTGAATCAGAAACCATAAGGCAAGAGACACCTGGTGAACAGTGAATCTCCAGACGGTAAGAAACCAAATCTGAACACCTTTATCAGGGAGGCACCGCCCAGTTCAAGTGAACAAAAGATTCATGGTTTTCTCTTTCTCAAAGAGTTCACTTTGCTGGGTGTTCTGTTTGTGATCTTCTTTCAGCTGATAGGGGCTTTTGGTTACCGACTCTTATCCTTCTATCTTCTGCCTGCCTCACAGCTGTTTAAAGTTCCCATTGGCTACTGCTATTATCTCGTTTTTCAATGCGGCCACTAGACCCCGTGCCCTGACGCAGACAACCCAACTTGAGAGTGTTTTGCCTTCTGACTGCTTCTTTCCTTCAGGAAAATGCTCGTGCCACAAAGGAGGAGTGATACTGTGATGTCATTAAGGAGCCCCTGAAAATGCAACAGACCTATCGCCATGCCACAAAGGGGCCCTTGTGGGCTTGTTTATCTATAGGCTCGTGAAAACCTAGGAAGTCACTTTGTTTGACTGGACTACAAAGCTTAAAATGGTCTCAAGCACAGATTTGCTTTCATTAAAAGAACAGCCACAACAAAAAAGATCAAAGGAGGAAAGTATCATCTTCAATCTCGTGTTTCTCCTCCTCTTGTATCACCTCAGTAAAAGGCATTAAGCAAATGCTATGTAACTATTAACCGATGGATTCTTTAAGATACTTTTCAACTAGAGTCTGCAATATTTACCTGCTTTTTAAATGCATCTCCCTCATCATTCCAGACCAGAAACCAGTATTTTGTTTGACAGATGAGGACTTTCAGTGTAAGTAAGATAGAAGCACATATTACACATGCATATATTGGAAAGCATGCGATATATTGCGAGCACTTACACATTCTCAGGAGATGAAGATTTACTGACCACCTACTCACGGCACAGTCTTGCCAAACAGTCACTGCAAACACTTGCTTACAACACAAGCTCTAAAACATCCAGCTGGTATGAAAGTTCTTTTTGTGGGAAATAACTAATTTTTACTTATTCAGAGATTCTAAGTCAATGAAGAGTAGAAACTCCTGATAGAAAACTTGTATACTCAGAATAAGGAACAATAACCCCAGTGCTGTGTATGTTCATGTGTCTGTATGTGTCTGTGTGTCAGTGGGATTGTTTGTGAGTATGTTTGTATGTTTGGGTGTGGTGATGGGGAAGCTGTGCAGTGAGACTTTAAGATATACCATAAGATCTTAGCTCACTGATTTGAGGACGCCTGATGTATATACAGAACCTTAAAGATTAAGTCATTTTAAAAATTCATTTAAATTCAAGTTAGTTAACATACAGTGTAGTCTTGGTTTCAGGAGTAGAACCCAGTGATTCATTGCTTACATATAACACCCAGTGCTCATCCTAACAACTGCCTTCCTTAATGCTCATCACCCATTTAGCCCCTCCTCCCCTCCAGCAACCCTCAGTTTGTTCTCTGTATTTAAGAGTCTTGTATGGCTTGCTTCTCTCTCTGTTTTCATCTTATTTTTCCTTCCCTTGACTCAGCAAAAGTTTCATTACAAGTCAGCTCAGATCATCTAGAAATGGAATAAATTGAAGATGCCAATCTTATCTAGATTTTTCTAGACACGGGGAGAAAGCATTATTTCTGATTTGAACTCAGGAACAAAATACTACAGGAGAATGCAGGACAAGATCCTGGATCCGCAAGATTCTGTCCTGTGATACCAGCATATATAAGAGGCTTTTCACTGCAGGTGCTATGATTGAGTGTCTGATCTGAAAATCTGAACTCCAACACTGGTCCC